AAAAAGTTGAAAGACAGAAAAAATTAGGAAGACAGTCTGCAAATATACTGCCAGCATAATTGTCACATAGTGGTATTTATCCAAAGGTTTCAAAAAGCAGTTTTAATGCCCAAATTAATTCCTAAAAAAGGCAAAAATTGCTGGCAGAGCTTTTCATTTTAAAATAATCTAGGATAAATTAGGCAGTCCAAAAAAAGCTAGGATACACTCTCTGCTGACAAAAAAATTCACTGCTACCACCTCATAAATATTATAACCTAAGCAAATCTCTCTTCTTAAGACACTCAAGCTCATGGGAATCTCCTTAGTCAAAAACCTAGAGGCATACAGCTCTGTAAGATGCTGCTCCTATAAAATTCCTATAAACCATGGTCTTTCTTATAAAATTTATCCTTAGAAATGACCCTCTTTGACAAAACCCAGCAACTTCAAGCCTTCCCAAGTGAGGCTTTTAAATCTGTAGACTGACTCCAGATAGCCCCAAGCTGAACTAAGCATCCCTTTTACAATGCCCCATGAGGGCAAGTAAGATTCCCTCTAAAATCTGAGCCAGATGTTTTCTTAATTCTGCTGGCTCAGAGACTGTGACCTATCACAACCGTCTCCACCAGCATCGTCTAGAGATGCCTTAAGTGACTAACCAGCAAGCAACAGTGGCATCTCAGCATTCACAGAATAGAAAGCCAGGCACCAACATTTCCAAAGGCGGCTGCATTAACAGCTTCATGCCTTTGAAAAAGTGTATGTGCTTGACCTTACGGAAACTATTGTACTTCATATAAAGTCTACATTGCAGAGTAAACCAAAGCATTAATAAACAAAATTAATTTCTTGATAAGTCAAAGAATTTTTTTTTTAATTTTAATTTATCTTTCTTCTTCACCCTTCTCTCTTCTTTGAAGTTAAAATTCAGGCCAGTAGAGATGGCCCACTTAAAAATCAACATATAACTTCACATGCATCTATTTTATTCAAATTGAACATTTAGTTGAATTCATTTGCTAAAGCTCACTCAGATCTGAGCCTGTTTTCAGTCATTTACAATAGGAATGATTTAATGTGACATTTCCTATCTGCTCCAAACTGGTTCCTGCCCAAGCAAAACCACTGGTTTGGTCAGTTCTGATAAATTGAGACATCTTTGCTTTTACAACAGTTAACCAAAAACAAAGTACCTAAAGCCTCCTCCAGATCTAGCTAGCAAGATGCATAGGTAACACCGTAATAAAAATCGGATCGGACACAGAGGCACTTTATGACCTGTATCAGTCAACCTCCCCGGAGGATTTTGGTTCTAATGCTGCTCCTGGCTCTGCGCTCCTACACATGGCTGAGCTATGCTGAAATGGCATCTGCGCCCCCATGGGTACCAGAAAGCATGGCTTTGTCATGCAGATAAAACTAGTAAGATTTCATCTTTGAAGTAACAAGTGCCCATATAACCCTGACTGTTTGTTCAGCATGTGTTTGTGCATCAAATAGCGAGCAGATACACTGTTCACACACAGCTATACTTGCTCCCCATAGGATATAGATAAACTATTAGTCCAGCTAGAAAATAGCAGCACATTCCCTTGCAGCTGCGTTACAGTTCTGCTGGAGGGAAGGCAGAAATAAGTGTCTTATGTACATGACTGAGGTATTGTTAAGCTTTCTTCGTTTGTTTTTGAATGATTATTTAAAGGCAATCATATGAGGCGAGTCATTAAATGTGTCGTAACTGCCTAGGTTTAAGTGAGGCATTCAAAAGTTATGCACTGGAATTATCTGTGTTCCTGCTCACTGCTTGTATATTTACTCACACAGTCCCTTGGTGAGCTCTCCAAAAAACAGTTCAATTAGTTTCCAAGCCATGCAAAATATTTCAGTTCTAAGGAGCTGTGTGCTAAGCAGCTTCCACTCTGCTGTCATTCTGCAGCTTTAACGTTACTGAAACCGTCAAGCAAAATTTGCTTTTGAATTAGTTAGGAGCTGCAGGAGAATGTAGATGATAAAAGACCCATGCTAATGTCAACTAAAGAGGGGAAATATAATCGCATTTTTGCACATATATAGGGCTATGCCTTAATGGATATAAGGATTTTTATTTCTCTCTTCTAGTCCACTTATTGTTTAAAAAGAATAACTGCAAGACAAAGAAAAACAACAAAGAAAAACAATTAGCCAAATGGACTGAATCCTGAAAATTCTCCCTGCATCTATTTCCCATTTATTTTTTATTAGTTGTTTTGTATAATAATGACTGTTGTAAACATGAGCTATACACTCACTACCATCTAAGCACCTTGTAATCATTCATGTATTTATCCTCATAACACTCCTCTGAAATTATTCCCCTTTCAGATGGGGCATCAAAGCACAGAGGAGGAAGGTACTTGGCAGTATGATTAACCTCCTCTATAATTTAGGTATCTACTTTGTAGCCAAGACTACGTGAAGTGAGATTGTCAATAAGATTCAGTCTATGGATCTCAGGGAGCATTTCTGACCATTAATCTGACCAAAAACAGGTTTCTTATTTAGACTGAGGTCATTCTGAGTTTAAAGAATTTGCACACAGGTAGACACCTACCCTACAGATATCTAAACTTAGAAAGGAAAAAAAATAATCCCACCTTGAAGGTTCAGGAAGAATTCAGACACCTCTGAATTCAGACACATTCATTCAAACAAATGAGAATGAGTAACTCCAGCTACATTGCTGCCAGCCCTGCAGATTCCCAGACAACCCAAACACATCCCAGTCACATGTCTGATACACTTCTTTGTATAAATCTATTCTCAGGAAACTCTACAAAGACATATTTTGTTCAGCCCCGTATTTTAAGCTTTCTCCAGCCCACTAGTCAGGTAATTGCATTAGTAAGGCTCTGTGCACAAGGCAGTAGTGCACAGAATCCTCATATCTTTGAGGATTCAAGCAGAATTTATGCTTCACATCAGCTTCCAAAAGACCCAAATAACATACTGAGGCAGCTAAACACTGCCCGGCAGGATCCACAGATGCCATTTAGATGGGCAGAGACATCACCATCTATGCCAGCCATGAGGAAATGCAGGTACAGAATGGGATGATCATAAGTCTCATTCCCCAAGGTAACTAAGGACCTAACATCAGGCAGAGGGGTTCTCAACTGCGACTAACCTACAGAAGTTACCATGGCTAAGCCATCCTGGAACACAGGGCATCCTTCCAATGCAAACATCTCTGTAAAGTTGAAAACAGTCTAAGGTCTGTTTTCAAATCTCTACTCAGCATCAAAAGGATCAAGGATTTGGACTAAGCCTTTCATTTCCACAAACAGAGCTTGCTGGTAGGGTCCGGTCAAGCTCCTTACTGAAGCTGTTCTACCTCATGGACATACAGACATTCCCAGTTCTTCTGCCATGCAAAAAACCCCACAGCAGTGAAGCTGACTCTTTTCGCTAGCTGCTTAGCAAGGCTGCCATTTCTCTTCTGGTCCAAGCACTGCAAGAGAACCACAATGACTTCTAATCTAGAAGGATTTTGGACCACCTATTTTCTTTCACTTTGAATCTTTTACTATTTTCTCCCGAGTCTCTGCTGTAACACAAAATTAGTTTGCAATTACAAAATGAGATAGATTCTAGGTCCCAAGCGTGATTTTCTTGGCAATGCATGCAGACTTCGGGGAAGAGGTAGCTCCAAACAGTAGGAAAAAAAAAACACTAGATAGAATTATCTCTCACCAACACATAGCACACATTATGTCAAAAGATCCAACATTTACCATTCTGTTCCCTTATTAATGTACACAGCTGTTAAGAACTGGACGCTGTGATGGCTTTTTTCCCCTTACAAATACTAGAAGTGTTTCTGCAGATTTAACCACTGAGTCTACCTTAAATTAGGGATATCTTTTCCCATACCCTGTTTCAACTTCTCTGTCTTGCTATTGAATTTATCCAATAAATAATGGAAGAACCTACATTGAATGGAGAAGATAGAAAAACTGAATAAATGTTCACATCCAAAGCACGCTGCAGCTGTAGAATCTTCCCTCTCCTCAGCAGCACAAGCTTATTAAGGAAAATTTACTATGTCTTATTCTCTGAATCACACATTTCTTAGGCTCTTCTGAAAAATTTACATTATATTATATTTTCAAATTAAACAGAATTCACTTAAATATGACATTTGTTTAAAGACCATAATAAATACATGGCAGCATGATGTCATCAATGTGACAGTTTCTTCTCCATATAATTTCCAGACCAATCTGTGTTATAAGGAATTAAGCTAGCCAATATCACTTAGAGGACTTTTTGATCAGGTGAATGCAGTTTCAGATGAGCCAAAATTGGTCAGGATTTTGTAACAAATATGGCAATTAGATTGAAATGAATATATTTTTGAAGAAGTCAAAATTTTTGCCATATGGTTTCCAAATAGAAGTCTTCTTTTGAAATGTGCTTAAATTTAAATTAAAATGAGGATTTTTTAAAAAGGTTACATTTAGAAAAGAGAATGATTTGGTTTCGGCAAATAAAATGTTTGAATGAATGTTCTTTTGGGTCAAATAAATGGGTTTATTTTTTTTAGCTCACTACTGGTTTTGATGGACCAAAATATTTTGTTTCAGAAAATAATAGTTAAATAGAAAAAGAAAACAAAATCCTTACCATATATTGCACTCTTTTACAAAGAGCAATCTTCTAATAGCTTCCAGAGAACTGAAGAGTATCCTTGGAAAAATATACAGGAAACACCTTACAAAATGAATCATTCTACCACAAGGGTAATTAAAATAACAAGCAACTGTGTTCAACTCTTAGGAAAGGATGTGAAAACAACACAGTACAGCTACAGGTGTTCTTTATCTATGTAGACATAATCAATATTAATAAAGAGGGCAATTCTATTTTGATTCTGGCCTAGAAACACTCCTCATACACACAGACTTGAATCTCAAATATCAGGCCAGAATCTTAAAGGAGGAAAATCTAACTAGCACGGATAGAAAACACTATTACTTGGACATTCTAGCTATATTTTATTTGTGGATATAAGGTATGGAAAAAATGAAGACTCGCTTGTAATAGAATTCGGTCACTCATAATAACGGAGCATTTGACTTGAAGGCATTTTGTGCAATGACAGATGAGAAAAGTTTACAACACAAGCATAAAAGTTGTTTTATTTTAGGCATATGGTATTTATTTAAATTGTTACATAGGAATAGTTTCATCAAATAAGACTTTTGATTAGATTTTTTTTCTCTTTCCTCCTCTGTTCCAAGCAACGTTCATACCTTTTTGATGCTCATACTTTTAGTTCCCACACTCTTCACATGAGGAAAATCCATTTATGTACAAAATTATTCTCTGAAAGGCACCTCAATCAACATCACATCTTTGTGTTTATTTGTAGGGCATCACTTGTGCAATTTGAAGTGAGAGTGAGGAGTGTATAGTGAACACAAGTCATCAAGAATAATGATTATAAAAGAGGGGGAAAAAAAAGAGTCTAGCATATGAAAAGTTCTTCAGCACTCTTTAGCGTATCATCCTATTTCCTCTTATATCTTCCAGCTCTGTGAAATAAGAGCTGTATCCTTCCCAAAGCTTGTTTGTGAGCCATTCAACTCCAACCAGCTATGCTTAGAGGTGTTTATAAACTATGTTATAACATGGCATGATTTGTTCCCTGTAGAGATAGTCACTGGCCACATAAATTGTTCTTTTTGCCAAGATAATATTTCCAGTTCTCGATAATGATCTTTGTAATTAGCTTCCAGGAAAAGCTGCCACGTGGTTACATCCATGTTCAGTTCCTTTGCTGATGAACTTCCATTCAAGTCACAACGTTCACAGATGAAAACCTCAAGTGTCCTGCATGAAAACTCAGGAGATATCACCTCCCCCAAAGTTGATGCTATACTATGCATACATACGCTTACATAGTTTTGGATAACACACTTTACCAACCAGCTTTAGCTGTAGGAAAGTAACTTTACCTCTCTCGTAGCTAATGGGTCCATTTTCCTGGGGACTCTCCTGCTTCTCAGAACTGCCTGTGAACTTCATGATGATAGGTCCTCACGTTAGCTTTCTATCAGCAGCACTGAAGGCCAGCTCAGAAGCAGTTGCTTCCAGCAGCAGCAGCAGCTGTTTGAACACAGGGTCGTCCCCTCTCTCGTATTATCTCACAGGTTCCATTTTTGCAGATCTGAAATTTTTATATTGTTCCTCTTTTTCTTCCTCCTTGTTAAGTTTGTTAGAAGAAATGGGAAAAAAAGTCTGGAGAACAACTTAAACTAGAATATCACTTCTTTTACTGCACCATACTACCAGTGTTATCATGGCACATGTCAGCATGACGGGGATCAAGATCAGAGTTATGAGAATTTCATCTGGCGGGTCTTCCCAGTGAACCTTTTCTGAGGTACAGTTTGAAAAGAACTGTTTATGGATTGCAGTGATAAAGCCCTCTGCGAGAGGGTTTGGCCAAAAGCAGCTTGCATTGTTGGCTTCACGTTCTGTGCACTGGGTAAAGTTATCATAATACCTAGGAAAAGAAGAAAATGAAGAGAAGTTGAAACAGAACACATGTATACAACTCAAAGAAAGCTACAATGGGTACCATATAGAATCTATAAGACTGGGTCTATCATATATATACTCTGCTGAAGGACCTTGAATAGAAGCTATGGGTATCAAATCTGATACACTGACTCACGTGTGTAATCATACAACCAAGGGATTCCAGGTGGAATACAGGTATCCTGGAAGGACGGGGTCAAAACCTTTTGGGTGCTTTTACTATGGCCAGGACTTCTTAACTCCATTTAAATACTGCAGAATTACAACCCCCTCAGGAGAGCCCCTCAGTAGAGGCAGCTACAATATCATTAAAAAATATACAGATAGATGTGCCAGGAACAGTACAGTTTAAGCAAAATATGGATAACTCATGCCCCATCTGTCATTGGAGAGGAGGCTGTGTCCAATATGATGATGTGATGTTGGAAATAAGTCACCACATGCATTACTGTGTAATAATTCCAGTTTTGGTATATTATATATAAATATATATATTTACTACCTTTAGCAATAAAAAGGCATTGAAAATAAATTTATCTTTTTCCCAGCTCCAGCAAGTGCCCAATAGGAAAATAAACAAACAAAACAACAACAATAAAAATCCTGCTTAAACCTGTTCTTAATACTCATGAGAGACTGGGAATCCCCTGAAATGTGTGATGCTTGGTTTCAACGCAGCATGTGCTGGAACTTACCTGTTCAAGAACAACTTCTATTTATTTTATGAGAATTGGTGCTCTCTCAGAAAAAGAAAAGGGGAAACAATATGCCTATATGAGTAATAGGGTGGGTTTTGTAGTGTTATCATAAGCCAAGGAAATTCAGGAAGGGAAGGGAGTATGAGGGAGGAGATCGGAAATTAAGAAGATGAAGACTGTCTGGTCAGTACATGAACAGGGGAAGAAATAAGGAAGCTTAAATTATTGTTTGTTGCACTCTTAAGTGTTTTTTTCAGTTCTGCATGACTCAATAACCTTACTTCAAAGGGAAAGAAAAAATAGAAAGGAGAGGGGAAAAAAAAACAAAACACACACATGATGCCTCAAGGGATAGCATTCTGCACTATTTTCTGAAGGCCCTGCCTCCTTTTCAGTATATATAAATACGGTAACTCCTGGTGAATGACTCAGTCTTACACAAAGTACCACAGGGGACTAACACTGACTCAATCCTTTGCTGTGAAGTAGTGGAGAAGAGATATTCTATGTCTGGGTCAAGACTGAATTGACATCTACTGTGTAAGGCCTGTCTTTAGGAGAAATGGCTGCCTGCCCATGCTACCATCACATAGGATGGGAACTGCAGAGTAACCTTCTTAGGGTTGTGTTCACAAAAGAGAAGAAAGAAGAAAAACAAAATGAAACAAAAAAGTCTCATAAAAAGGTCCTTCTACACCCTCCTCATAGTTCTCGTTCGCAGTGAGTTTGTGCCAACACGGCTTTGCTCATAAGGCAATATACTGGATGATCTGGCAAGTCCACATCCAGATGCTCTGGCATACAGATGCATATATGCACAATATATGTATATTTTAAGCAAAGGAAGCTTTTGTTATCAGGTCAGCAGCCACAGGGAAACAACAGGAAATAAGCTAAAAATAAAATACAAATATTATCCGTTTGTTATTTTAATAGTGCCATTCTTCCACACAATCCCATAGCATCCATCCTTTTTGTCCTTGAACTAAATTAGAATCTATAGATGTCTAGCTGAATACAGGAAAGACAGTCCCAAAGGACCTCAAGAATAATACATCTAAAGGCATGCCTACAAGGCTCAGCAGATTACTGTGCAGAGGCGATGGAGCTAGCACTGGGTTGCCTGCACAGGTTAGGGGTCCAGGAACAGTCAGGTTGGGCTCTGCTCCAGCCCTGCTCTGTGTCACGCTCTGGCTAGCAATGCCTGTTGCTGATGGGCACCTAGCGTCCCCACTGCCGCAGGCACGTCAGTCCGTGCTGCCTCCAGGTCCCATCTGTTCCTGCAGAATAACAAACATAGCAAAAAAATCCTGGTAGTCTGTAGCAGCTTCATATAAGCTGTCGCTAAACAGAAAGATTTCATGCCAGAAAACTTTTTCTTCGGGGGTGGTTAAAATGTCCTGTAGGCAAGTTTACTGTTCTTTCAAGAATTCTGTAGAATTCTGTCATAAAATGTTAGATGGTATGAACAACTAAACTTTCCCACTGGTACTGAATTTCAAGTCCAACACAGCCAGAAAAAATTGGTTAAACGCTTGAAAATGTAAGATGAAAATAATTAGGGAGTTATGTTGTATTTAAAAGATTGAATCCCTAGGAGTCAAGATAGAACATAAATGTTCTCTTAGTTTGAATTCCTCGCAACACTCACATAAAATACTCTTTCTCAAAAAAGAAAAAGGAGAAAAAAAATTACCTGCACTCTGTTTTTTCAGGCAATTGTGAGAATGTAGACAAAAATGAAAAATCCAAACTATGTGAGAACTGTGTGTCTGCAAGCAACACTCCATTCACTTAAATATTTATGTAATTTAGTAATTTAAGAGCTTTTGCCCTGCAACACAATGCACACTTAAAAAAAACCAAAATCACTGCATAGTACTGTGTAACATCCACTTTAGAAGGTATCAACCAAATTCCAATTACTACAGCATGGGTGTTTTATAGTTGATCAATTGGTTTGCAAAGTTTTTGTTTGTTTGTTTAAGAGGGAGGTAGGTTTTAATAAATATTTAATGCCAACTCAATTCTCCTGTGTTTAATTCTCTTATGCCTTATGTAATTCTCTTAATTCAAATTGTAAAGGTTAGGGAAAGAAAGCATTTCATGCTGTGTGATATACTACCTCTCACAAAGAAGCACTGGCCTCTGACTGGAGGTACTGGAACATAAATACATAAAAATTGTACGTTTTGTGAAAGGAAAGAACTAGAAATGACATCGTACACTTATTCCTGGAACAAGTAATTGGAGAGCAGGAATACAAGCTCCAGTACTTCAACCTCGAGGATTAGAAGGAGGTGTGGGAAGGTCATTATTCTCTGCATTAAGTCACATTTTCAGCTCTCTCTCAGGCTAGCTACAAGGGCCCTGGTTAGTCAATAAGGATATTTACTGCCGGCCAGGTTATTTAAGTCTTACACAAGCTCTGTGATCAGTGGGCTGAAAAATTGATGTAGCTAGGAGTTTCAACTCAATTTAGTAGGCCACTGCTGAAGGAGAAAAACTAAACATAGTGTGCACACCAACATTTGTATAAGAATATCTTTTACACTGATATGCTCAGGAGAATCATTTTAAGCTTTATTGAGGAACCAGCTGTTTGGTCATACTGCCTATTATTGATAGTATTCACTATCAAAGAACACTAAAAATAGCTAATTCCTCTTTGGCGCAGTCTCTGGACTCTAACACATTTGTCTTAACGGTATCCTAAAATATGGCAAATAATCTTTTATTTTCAGAGCACATCTTTTCTCCTGTACTTTATGTTTCCAATAAACCAGATAATAACAACCACATAGTTCATTTTTGTAAAAAATATGAAGTTATTTTATCTGTGGAAAAATGTATTTATACATGTATACATAGCCAAGAACCTGGACAGTGGGTAGTTATCATCGGAGATACTAGCATACGCATGTGCTTTGATGAGATGGTGTTCCATGGAGCACCCACTCAGACAAACAGACAGCTGGGTGTACTTCATATTGCCCTCCTCAGAGTACCCAGTTGCCTACCTCTTAGGGCACAGGTCAGTCTAAGCAGGGATCTGAATCCCATCCCTAGTTTCCCACATTTAATTCCCATTATTTAAATAAACAAACACATTTTGAATTTCTCTGTATTTCTCAGAAGGGACAAGATTCCTCTTTTACTAGGCCTGACTTGTTATATGACTTGTTATATGATAACAGTCCGCACTCTTCACTTGTTTTGTTCCCTGTAGGCAGCTCTAAAAATGTCTTCTCAGACTTCTAGTTCAATTGCTGATTACTGGAGAGAAATGATCTTAATTGACCCCAGAACTACAAGCCCTGTAGATAACAGCAGTCCTCATGAATCAGAAGTGTGTATCCTCAACACACAGGTTCAATCAAGAAATTTCCTTACACGCAGACATATATTAAATTACATTTCAAAGTGAACAATTAGCCTCCTATTTGCTTCCCTGGAATTATATCTGATATGAATCTAGCCAGTAATGTACTCTTCATTGAAGAGCATAGAGAAATTAAGTAATCAGACTCTCAAAAATGGAAAATTAATTTTATCTGACTTGCTTTCAAGAAAAAGGTTGGAGTTCTCAGAAGAAAGCTTATACATCTTAAGTCATATTCTCATTAGTAGATATTTCTAAATGAATACAACTATTTAAAAGCAAAAACAAAAAAAAAATCAGTCTCCTCTCAAAACAATATTCAGACAAAGGTCCTTTAATGACACTTTTTCATTTTAGCAAGTGTTTTGGTACTTAGAGCCTCCATCAAGTCTGTAAGGAGAAATGCTGAATTACACATATTACACCATGAGAAAGGCTCTTCTTACAGCATTTCCAGCTGAAGTGGAAGCAGGAAGTACCAAATAACCTCACAAAAAAAGCCTACTCTTGTGTGATATTCAGCCAAATTTTATAGAATTTAAGGGTGTAACAGCCTGGATGAACTTCAAATAGTGATCCAAACCTTAAGATGATTATCTCCTGAGGCTTCACCATCACTTTAAAAGTGAAGCTTTAGTTTTATGATGAGCTATGAGCCTACAAATATGACAGAATCCTTCCATGCCTTTTTCATTCAACATCTCTCCAAACGGATTTGTGGCTGCATCTCATCATTCCTTTAATCCCATGTTGTCTTCTGCCAAGAGGAGTATTCTTGCAGACACACTTGCACCTCCCTAGTCAGACTCTGCCGTTCTGCCTCTCCAACACAGGATTAAGCCAAAAGAAAATAATACATTACGAAACGTAAGGAAGGAAACACAT